TATCAGTTCCCTTTATTTCCTCCTCTGCCCTCCTTTCTCCCCGCCGCCCTTCCTGGTCCCATCATGTTCAATTAGTATTTGTCCTTTTTAGATGGAGGTAAACAGTGATTTTCCAAATGGACTTTTCTCTCTTTTCACCACTGGGCAAGAGCCTGAGTGAGGTTAAGTGGCTGCTCTCTTCTACCGCCGCTTCCAACACCTCTCCTCCTTTAGGTCCATTTGTTACTTGCCTCCGGAGCTCCTGGCTCCGGCCGCTCCTTCGTTGCGCTCCTTAGTTGCAAAGGCAAACAAACAGCCTGTCATGAACCCCGGCTAACTATGCAGCAAAGTTGGCTACATGCCTCAAGGTCACCTCTGACTGTGCTAAGCATCTGTGCAACTCCATTCTTTTCTGCAGTGTTGTTTGGCTTTTGCTCAGAGTCTGTGTGGGAAGGGGAGATGCTGGCAGACAACCGTACACAGCCATGTTTACAGTCAGGAGGCTCTTCATCGCCTAGAATGGGATGGAAAGGAAGGAACTTGGTGGATGGAAGCTTGCATGGCACAATTCCTACTGTATGTCCACTTTGCACAGTGTCGCAAGTACACAAAGCAGAAGCCAAACCATAGCAAAAACATGCATTGCTTTTTTACTGTGTTTGATTTGTGCCCTTCAGATGGCATTAAGGGAGTTTGGAAACCTAAACAGGAGGATTCCCAGTGTGCCACATGCAGTGTGCTATTCCGTGCATAGATCATGCCGGTGGGGAAACCAAATCCACCCCTTCTGGTACCTGTTCATGCAGACAGAAGCGATTACTTCAGTGCTGTTTGATCACTACTTTTGAGTCTATTGTGCAAAAGGATGCTGGGGAGTCTTGAGCCCTAGCTTGGGTCCTTGAAAGCAGGGGCTTGAACCTCAGGTTGAGGGCCAAATTTGCACTCCTGGGTTCTTAGGTTCTGGCTTGCTGGGCTTCCCCAGGGGACCACTCCCCTTTCCCCAGGGCCACCTGTTTTCCCCAGCCACGGATCATATGGTAGTTTCCCAGCTTTTGTGCACATTTACCCCTTCTAAAATGGTGAAATACCTCTTCTTAGTTACAAGCAACAAGATCTTCAAGCTATTATATGATGGTGGCTGTGTACTTTTAGCCTCACCCCTTTTGCCTTTGGCTGTGCCGACCACCGGCATGTGTCGAGAGCCGTGTTCCTCCGTCCAACCATGCCAATCTCCCACCATTCTTTGCATAATAATCTTTACTATGCTCTCCTTATAAACTCCTTATAAACCCATCTGCACCCTGACCCAGGAGAGGGCATGCTATGAAAATGAGCATGCCTCTGCACCCTGTTTGTAGCCCATTTGGACTCTTTGCTGGTGTGAAGGGGAAAGTTGGTCTCCCTTGGAGAGATCTCCCATTTCCGCATCCCCTCCCCAGGCCGTAACTCTCCATTGTTCCCATGGTCAGTATGATTCGCATCCCCACCTGCCCAGGGCTAATCTCTTCTACTGAATCCCAGGACCTTGACGCACAGCTTGTGGCTGCACAATCTCACAAGCAATTTCATCCTCCAAATCCGAATCATTAAAATTCGGATTCCGAATCAGCACCATTATCCTCCTGCAAGCCCACCAGAGGTTGGACAATACACGAGCGCAAGGCAGCCTCCCCAGATCTCCCTGTACTTTGGGAATGTTCCCGGCACCCTGTGAGCCCAGCGCAGTTGCATGGACAAATGCCTGCACCACTTCCCAATCTCAGGCTTGGAAAGAGAAATGGAAGTTAGTCTTGTTTTGGCCATTGTTGGATTGCCTTTGAAGTGGAGCATAGAGACAGACATGTTCCTGCTTATGTCCGAGCTTCAGCTTCACTGAGTTGGAAAGCTGTGGTTAAATAAGCCAGTAAATGTTGAGTAATAATGTGCTGAGAAGGGAAGAAGGAAGGTGCATAGTGCGGTACAGGGCTTGTGCGTACCTCAGCTTCTTCCGCACATCCAAACTTGGTCAGAGCATGCTCCATATGACTGGTAGAAAATTTCTGGACATGTGAATATCTTTGGAGCAACTTTTCAAGTGGTGTTCCATATGCATAACAAAGTGTTAAACTCTAGCCCTCCTCCCATATAGATTTTCATATTTTTGAAATACTTTTTAAATGCCAAATTGTTGCAGAAAGATTCATCATGTTCTTGCTGCTTTGGCTGATTTAACTTCTGTGGGAGTGCCCAGTTGTTGCAGCCTACAAACCCTCATGTCTCTCTTACTGGGACAGAGGTGGGAGGAGAGATTTTTAATTCTTGTCTTCCATTATGTATAATTGTTAAAGGAAGTCATGGCAGCAGATGTGTGATGGGTAATGGCCTTTGATCTAAAGTTTTAATATTGTATAAAAGCCATGTTTGTGTATGGGGGCGAGTGGAGGGAGAGAGAGAGAGAGAAAGAATTGAGAATTCGTATGTTATATGTTGTGTGTATGGATAGCCCATTTTTATACTGTGCTGCTTAACATCAAGATATTAATGTAATAAATATTTGTCTGTTTTGCCTCATCCGGTGGACTCCAGCATGCCTCCAGTGGTTTACTTGATGAACAGCTGTTTGATTCTAGCAAGTTCGCTGCCAGAGGGACACAGTTCATCTCTCCATAAGCAGGCTGTCTTTCACAGGACACAGAATATAATTACAACACTGCTGGGTACTGCTGGAGTTGTCTAGGTTGATTTCTTATTGCTGCTTAGTTTCACGTTTGGAAGTTCAGGGAGGATGGAAGCACCTGGTCGGGCCTGCTGCATGCAGGATCGCACAAGTGGGGCACATACGCAGGGGAAGAGCTGACACTTGGGGAGTGCTGAGCAGAGGGCTGGTGGGCCAGAGCTGAAGGATGAAGGAGCCGGTGAGCACCAGAAGGATTCTCATTGTGCTTCCCAAACAAGGAAGTTCTGTGTAACGGATCTTAAAAGAGTAACGCATTTATCCTGGCATAACCTTTTGTGGACTATAATCCACTGCAGCAGGAGCATGGAGTATTATGGAGAGTTTCTGTCTCCTTGGAGAGTTCCTAAGGTGAAGATAGAGATAAGAATTATAAACAGGGAGGTCAGAAGACAATTCAGTGCACCAGGGACTGATGGTGGCGGCAATCACATTACAGTGGTACCTCGGCTCACGGATGCCTCAGTTCACGACCAAATCGGGTCGTGAGCAGAAATTTCAGAAAAAAATTGCCTCAAGTCATGAATTCCGCATCGGGAGACGGGCGTGATCACAGGCGTGCTTGGAGGGGGAGATGGCCACAATCATGCGGGGGGGGGGGGGGGATGGCCATGATCACGCCTGTCTTCCCTACCCAAGCGCGCCCACGATCATGCCACGATCTCAGTCGTGGTTGCGCAGGGAAGACAGACGCAATCACAGTCGTTCTTGTGGGGGAGGGAGATGGCTGCGATCTTTGTTGTTCTTTGTCACTTTGTTGTTCTTTGTCACTTTGTTTCAAAGTTTTGTGATTAAAAAATGGTTACAGAACAGATTAACTTATTTACATTGAACCTTATGGGGAAATTTGTCTTGGGTCACAACCAATTTGGGTTGCAACCAGAGTTGTGGAATGGATTAAGTTCAAGAGCCAAGGCACCACTGTATTAACAGTGGGCACTACTATTAGGAAATCCATTTAAAATGTGTGATGTGATCCAGTATTCTATTTCAAGGTTATGGGGATAAAATTGGACCTGTTGATGCATCCTAATTCAGTTACTTCCCTTTGGAGTTCCTTTGCTCCACAGTGTCCATTTTCAGATCTGAGCCAACTGGGTGATCTTGGGCTGGTCACAGACTCTCAGCCCAGCCTGCCTCACAGGGTTGTTATTGTATGGATAAGACTGAGAGCAGCAGCAGGAGAATTGTGTAAGCTGCTTTGAGTTCACTGGACAAAAAAAGCAGGGTATAAATCCAAATAAATAAATATTTTCCCACATACCTCTGTATAATTCTACTTCTGGGGTCAACTCTCTGACTATCTGAACAATGACCATTTGAATAATACAAATCATTAGGGGAAAAAACTCACAGAATCATATAGCTGAATGACAAATACAAGCTCTAATTTTGGCTGAATTTGTGATTGCAAGTATATAAGCTGTAATGATCATGGGACTGCAGGATTCCACACTGTTTGAAGATTGTAACAATAACCTAGCTCTGAGGTGCTGGGCATGTTTGAAACTGAGAATCACCTCGCTCTCTTTCTCAGGCTTATACTTGCAGCTCCAAGGACTAGAAACGTAGCGACCAGTGCCATCTGGGTTCACTAGCCCAGATTAGACAGAGGGACAGCCCATGTGGGTGCTGTTGTTGGGTCAGCAAAAGCATGATGCTTTTGCTTTGTCTGCATATTACAAAGAACCTAGTGTGGTCTTTCATAATTCTTTGGCACTGATGCCAATGGTTAAGGTACAAGCACCGAAGGTAAGGTAAGGTTAAGGTATTTTGTGTTGGTTTGGGGTTGCTTTGACCATTTGAACCTCAGATGAAAACCAAACAAAATGTTGCAGACAGGTATGTTGAATAATGCTGACTCATCCTCACAGTTACACAAGAAAAATTCCTACCAGTATAAATGGGACTTGACTATGTGAAAGTAAGGATAGTATTGCAACCTTATCAAATTACTTGATAATTTTGTTTTTGTTCTTGTGCTTCAAGAGTGTGGAAAAGGAAAAGCCTGAAATGCACAGCTAATTTTGTCCAGGTGTGCTCTTAAATTGCAAGGTTTGTCGTATAAAATAATTTAAAAATAGATTCAGTTACTTGCGTTATTTAATGCTTTCTAGCTTTTAGAATACTTTGCACATGAATGTTTAGAAGGCATACTTCCTGCAAAATACTAAATATTTCCCAGCCTTATTTACTGATGGGTGCAGGTGACCACAGCTATGAGGCTTAATAGCTCAGTTGACTGTTGCATGAACTGTTCATGATTAACATTATGATTTTTTTTTCCTCCCTCGTTTCATTTCTGTAGGCTGTCCAATTAGCCCCTAGACGATGGCTAAACCTGCAGGAGTATCAGAGTAAGAAACTGATGGCTGATCACGGGGTCACAGTTCAGAGATTCTTCGTGGCTGACACAGCAAATGATGCTCTTGAGGCTGCTAAGAGACTAAGTAAGTTGACTAGTAATGGACAGAAATCTGCAATGGCTATAAACAAGCCTGGAAAATTAAATTGCATTGCAGTTGTATGCAACTGTTAAAGCAGAGGAACATGGTATTCTAGATATCAGAAGCAGGCAAAGGTAATAAGCACACTTTCATGTAAAATTTGGATTCCTTTGAATTGTATTTCATTTGGTCCCAGAGACTCTGGGTGGGTTACTATCCATGTAAATATATATATCAGAATTTACAGTAGAGCAGACATAACTGGCCAAAATAACTTTCCAGATTTTTACTTTATTTCCTTGATGTCTGTCCTTTTAATAGCAAACATGGCTGGTGAGCACTGATGGTACTGTATTCAAAATGAGGCCACTGAGAAACAAGAGGATGCTATTAGTATCCTTGTGAGAATGGCAATATTCGCAGAAGTACAGAATTGTATTTCAGAAAACACATCAAAGGAAGCAGACTTTGTGCCCAGCATTTTATTAAAGACCAGGGGTCTCAAACTCGCGGCCCGCGGGCCCATTGCCGGGGCAGGCGGGGCACGGGGAAGGGGCCCTGCGGCCTTCAAAGCGCCGGCAGCGCCCGGGCCGGCTGCGGGATGAGCGGCCCACCCCCACCACGGTGGTGGAATACTTGATACGGCCCAGCCTCACCCAGACTCTACTTCCAGCGGCCCCCGGGTAAGTTGAGTTTGAGACCTCTGTTTAAGACTGAGTATGCTCAGTAGCTACAGAATGTTGCATATCACTTAGAGAAGAAAAATGGAAAGTGGTGGAGGAAGGGGAGATAAAAGGATGGAATTGCCTGCCGGAGGAAGACATGGTGTGCTGGCTGGATTTCTGAATTGGAGCACCCTTAAGAGATGTGGTGGACTACAACATTTTGTTGCAGGCCCTGCGTGGTTTTGTAACAGCAAAAATAAGCATTAGAAAAACAAGCTAGTTATATGCTTGCAGAACTAGCATCTTGAGAGACAAATAGAAAAGGAAATTGAGGAAGCCTGCATGGGCTAAGCCCTGTCCCCATTTCTGCCACCTGAAACAAAACAGCTACTTCCCCATCCACTCATTCGCCTGGAATGGGGAGTGCCTCTACACATGTAGAGCTTGTCCTTGTGAGGAGGGATTCTGGTCCAGCCGGGGTCCTGCTCCACATGGAAGAGCTCTGCAGGTATATAGTGGCATGTGCTGCAAGCCCTTTCACACACAGTCTTGATGTGTGGATGGTGGGGAAGGATTTCTGCGGCAGGTGGTAATAATGGAGGCACACATGAGCATCTGGGATAACCTCTGTAACCCTGTGCCCCTCCTTCCATGTTTCTTCAGTGCATTGGAGGTGGGCCAGCCTCCCTCATGGAAGAGCCAATCTGTCCCACTGGTGGTTTGGAAAGCAGACAGCAAAAAGTCCAGAATACATCTCAGATTATCCTGATGGGATTCCGTGTGGCAGGGACAGTCTGAGAGGAAGTAGATGGAAAACACAGAGAACTATACAGCATCTTTGGCTGATGACTGCTTCTGTTCAAACAGCAGCAGTATCCCCACATTGCATAGCAAACCACTTTTGAAATAGGTATCTGCAAGTCAAAAGTCAGATGGGTGCATGGTTGCAAGCCCTTGGGTGAGTCTGATACACATATATTACCATCAGTCTTTGACAGGTAGGGTGACTTTTGCCACCTGATCTCCAGTGGTTGCTGTGCCTCTGGTAAGATTTTCTATTCATCACTTGGAACGTGACTTGGCCAGCACTGCAGGACACCAAATTGTAGGCCAGTGTACAGGATATACCAAATTGGAAGTGCATTTGGTGTCTCAGAATAGGCTTAGGACCATGTCTGGAAATGATGAAAGAGGAATATGATTAACCATTGCAAAAATGTGTCATTGCCTGTAGATATCTTGAATTCCATTTCGTTAATTGAACACATTGCATTCCTTGGGGAAGACTTTGGCCAGATGTATTCCTTGATTAGAATGACTCCCCATTAAATATGAATCATCCCAATTTTCAAAGTGCAGTATCCTTGGTTGGAAATTCTGCTAAAATTGCCCAATCTGTAGTGAGAGTTCATAGCTTATTCTGTTTCCTGTACAGTGATAACCTCATATATGTGAAGGTATGTGGATAGTGTATTTATTTCTTTCATTCCATCTAGAACACTTACCCAGTAAAATCACTCCAGGATGAGGAACATAATTTGCATGATAGGTTGGATCAAGGATCTGCTTCCACAAACAGAAGGGTTCTGCTCAGGGAAGGCTCCTCTGCCCAAGTTTTTGAGGATCTGCTGCCCCTCAGTACCCCTCTCCCCCGACTGAGCACAGTCTCCTGACCATCTCACAAGTCTTTCTCTGTTTTATGAAAAGCAGCATGCTTTGCTTTTTTTCTGCTGTGTGTCTGCACATGAAGCAAATGTATCAATTAGGTATTAATTGCTTTTCTGCGCACCTTGGTTGAGGTTTGGGGTAAAATACTGGAGACAGTAATATGACAAATACACAGGTCAGTGAAGAAATGAGCCAGGGCAAGCCCAGAGCAGAGAGAAGGTAGATCTGAATCCGCTAGTTGGTCTCTGGGAGATTTGCAGCAGATTGGCAAGGGGTCCCAGTTTGTTGGCAGCAGCAGCAACAGCATGACAACCAGTCTATTATACTACTGAAATTTAAAATTCTTGGGGTAACCAGAAATGCATGCTTGGTGGAAAGACTGTGAATGGCATTTAAATCTGTGCTCAGAATTATTTAATTCTAAATGTCTTTTGTGCCAAGCTCGTGGCTCGACTCAGATTCTAGTGAAAAAACCAAGATGAATCCTGTAAGCTTGAAGTTTGTCCACACCTATGCTAACTCATTCAAAACACATAGAACTTGGACAGGACACTGGTGATGCTCTGGATGTTTTGTCCCATCAAGGCTTGCTATTATAACTAATAGGGTTATTTGTGGGAGTTGTAGGACAAAGCATCTGGAGAACCACAGGTTATCTACTCCAAGAATAGGGATGGTGGTATTAAGGAGCAGCTTGTACGGTCCTTTTCAGAAATTGAAGATACATTGATTCTAGTGTCCAGTTGTAAGTTGGTGCTTAGTGCTGAGAAGTGTAAGTTCCAAATTAGCCAGCTAAGCTCTGTGTGCACAGCCTGATCCTTCCATAGTTGAAAGTTGCTTTAATAATAGTCCTTCAAATTACAATGACAAAAAGGCAGCAGAATACAATATGTGCCACTTCAGCAGATTAAATGAAAACATTCTTCCATGAGGCCATCATTTTTACTCTCTCCCTTTTCTTCTCTCATCAGTTCACTATAAGGACTGCTGAGCCCAGGAAAGATCTTGTAGCATACCTACTGACTGCTTTTAACTTGAGATACGATACTGCTTAATAAGAGAAGGATGTATAAATAGGAGAGAAAAGGAGGCTAGTCATACGCCTGTTATAATAAAAAGAGATTGATTTCTAGATTGAGCAATGTTCTCACAGTTTGATATTTCCATGGTTTATTAATGATAGTGCCATTGATTGTGGTGTATGATTACAATGATACTAATATAGGTAGAAAAAAGTATATTACTGTGTTTTAGAACATGGAGCAAAAATGTCAGCGTAAACAATGGCTTTGGCCCAAACTTACCCAGAGGGAAATGTACTTCTGCCTGTACATGATTTCTGCCAACTCTCTTCTCCTTCTGTAGCCCCCTTTCCCATAACCCATAATGTCCTGAGGAATCCCCGACCCTCAGGGTTGGCTCTTCGCAGGGGTAGTGGGACTACAGGGGGGATGGGACTTCTTCAGGAAGCCATTGCCCACTTACAGTTATTGGGCCCCAGCCCATTGCCAGTGAAGCATGTGGGCGAAGGGAAAGTGCATACGCTCCCATTACTGAATTTGACTGTCTTCTTATCTCACATCTTTGCACATGTTTGTATCAGTTGCAATGATGCTAATGTTCATTTCATTTAAGTGAATCAAATGCATTAACTGGATTATTTAAGACACTTTGCTTTTTAGTGTAAGAGGGATTGAGGGGACTATGAAATTACTGCTGTGCTCCACTAAGCCATTAATTAGCACAATCTGTGCAGTTAACTTGTGTGTTGGGGCATCAAGTTGTTGTACCTCATTAGAATTCAGTCTGAAGAATGCATTTGGGAGGTGATATAGTGATATTTTATTCAGCCCTGTACCAAGCAGGTGCTTATCTGTCTATTTGTGTACATCTTCATTTGGGCTATTGTAGGACATGATGCCGTGGACGTGCCATGCTTGTTACATTCAGAGAGACCACCAGTGCCTTCCCGTAGTCTTTCCAAATGCAGACATGAGCCCTGTGCTTCTACACTGAAGTGTGTTGCTCATGTGGAAGACTTGTGGCATGTGCTGCTAGTGTGCCATCTTGGTTGCAGAGTTATACAATATAGTACAAATTGTAAGGTTGCACCCAAACTTAGTCATACATAGAGCAGACCCATTAAAACCAGTAAGGCTTTAGTCATGACTAATTTAAGTTCCATTGAGTTCAGTTGGTCTGCTCTAAGTATAACTGATTCTCATCCAAGGCAAGCCTTTCGCCTTGTAGAAGTACAAAGGGGCAAATTCTGGACCATAAAAGTACAATGCACTACACTGAGTATTGTGTGTACATAAAAGCACAACACATTGTAAAAGTTTATGAAAGCAACTGTTTGGAATTTGAGGGCTGATCTTTATACCAGCTTTCAGAATAAACTCTTGAACGTTTCATTATGACATCCATGCAATGACATAGCATCATAGAATAGTACAGCAGGAATTGGCCAGAGGGCCATTGGGTTCACCCCCCTGCAAATGCCAAGTCAGACCATCTCTCACAGATGGCTGTCAAGTTGCATCTTGAATGCCCCTAGTGTGGGAGAGCCCACAACCTCCCTAGGGAATTGGTTCCATTGTCGTACTGCTCTAAAAGTCCAGAAATTCTTGCTGATGTTCAGCTGGAACCTGGCTCCCTGTAACTTGAGCC